GGGAGAGGCTAGAGGCTGATCAGACCCCTGTTGCCTTCTTTGAATACGCTGGGTCCAATAGGCTCCGCAGCGCTTAGAGATCTTCACGAGACCTGAAGTCTCCTCCTCCTGATGTTCATGGAGTCCTCCCTTTTGGGGTTCTCCTCGGAGTTCTCCAACTTGGGCGGAAACCACCCAAGCCTTTTATACGGCTAGCAAGCCAATCGCTAGCCACCACGTGGGAATATTTTAACACAAGCCAATAATGGGGCTCAAATTCTAATACAAATGGCGGGAACTCTCTGCACCGTGCATCTCTGTTCTGCAAAGAAGAAATGCACCCTGCAAAGAAAGCTCCAAAACGGCGGGAAAATAATTCAGTGGTGCCAAAGCACACACAAAAACAAAATTACACCCTTGGGTTGTGACAAAGAGGTCAGGTATTATAATGGTCTTTGTTTAGTCTTAAAAACTATGCATCTATAAATTTCACTTCCTTCCTTCAGTCAGCAAGTGACACGTAAATCAGTGGGTACAACATACAAGACTTCTGACTGGTGCTAGGGAATCCACATTCTGCCCTGACTCGGCATGGGTACGAGCTGAGAAAGTCCCTATGCCCTCTTTTTTTACCATCAACTGACAGGTAAAATAACTATACTAGAATTTTTTCTTTAATGAATATATATGAGAGCTTACATAAATTACATTTTTTTGTGCAATTGGGCTCCCGAAAGTGCTCTACAGTCATGAGTTAACACAGGTGCCTGGCTGCAGACAGCTTTTAATATGACTGATCATGCAACAAATTAACCCTCAGCAAATCCGGTGTTAGATGAAGGTGGTTTAAAGCAGAGTGGCTTGGGGAACTTGTGTTCCCTTGATGGTTATTTTTTTTCATGAGGGCAGGGCTGGGCTGGTGGCAGCAAAGGAGGGAAAAGGAGGTGGATGGGGAAAGGAAAGGGAGCAGCGTGGAGCTGCTGGTTGGGAAGTGGGATGCAGGGAGGAATGGAGCCTCCTTACCTCGTGGCCCCCCCACCAGCTACCTCAGCTGAGTTACTGGGGGGCTGGGACCGCTAGGCTCTGTTCCACCCTCCCATCCCCCAACTCCAGGTGGGCCTCTTGAGAAAATGCTTTGCCTCACCTGAGCTGGAGGTGGGGTGTGGAATGGAACCTCCTCACCTTGCAGGCTTGGCCCAGTTCCCTGGGGTAACCAGGCGGGCCTGCAAGATGAGAGGGCTCTGTTCCACCCTCTCCCAGCTCCCTTCCCCCTCCCACTAATGGAGGGGAGTGGCTCCAGAGCTGGGGTGGGGTGGGGTGGGGTGGCGAGAGGTGAACTGGGGAGGGGGTGCTGGAGCACCCCCACGCTGCCTGCTATCCAGGAACAATGCAGGCAGGCTTGATCCCCCAGACTCAACAGGCAAACCATGAGTTAGAGAAGGCCTCTAAAAGTTTGTAGGCACCCTGTATTATCAGCTGAATGTACTTTAAAGAGGATTCTGCTCTTGTACATAAATCCTATTGTCACAGCGTGGGGTCCCCAGGAATGGCTGTGATGCCCCTAGGGTTCTGTGACCATGTCAATTCTGCCCTGCAGGCACCTTCTTTTCTCTACTGCCATGTCTTGTTGGTATAAATAAATAATAGGGAGGCTGCCCATGAGTTTCTGTGTAGACATGGTCCTGTTGGACCCCACTGAACCCTGTGGTTTCTGGGACTGCTTGCTGGGTCCAGCTCAAAGTTGGTGCTTCATGGAACAACCCAAGCCTTATGGGCTAGATGCATGATTCCAAAACCTCCCATTCGCCTCCTGTTGTCACTGGGCCCCCTGGCCCCTGTGACTGCACCCCTCTGGTGCTGGGGCTCTGTGGCCTCTGGAAATGCACCCCTCTGGTGCTGGGGCTCTACACAATTGTGTGCCCCAATGAGGCCTCCTCCTCCCCTAATAGCCTCTTCTTGGTCCACCAGTTTAAAAGACAACAGAAAAACAAGCCCCTGGGCTACAACATAACAATGATAATGGAGGCCACACTCTACCCCTTTAAGAAGGTAAACTCTTATTATTGTGTGCCTCCTAGCCCAGGTACCTTATGAGTTCTATTAATCTTACAGGCAGCAGCCCAGTCCATCAAACATCTCTAAGTAGTTTTTTTCCTGCAAGAGCTCCTTCCCCTGGCAGCTGACAGAAAACTAACTCCCTGGGGCTCATGTGCGCCCAGGGCCTTGCTTCCTTCCAGTCAGCTGAGCAGGTGCAGGTGCCAGCTAATTCCCTCATTAGCCTGCTGCCCAGGTAACTTACAGCTGTGGAACTCCACCTCAGCTCACTGGGTTCTCTAGCTAGGCTGTTTTGGTTCTTAAGGAGCAGGATCACCTTAGTGCCCTGAGACACCTATACATATAACAAGTGCTTTCCTTAAATAACTCTACATGGGTAGAGACAGTCATGTATATTAATTTACATTATATCATTATTTTCTTGTAAAATCCTACTGACATGCAAAAGTGGAGTCCATAGTATTTTAAAAAATTCATTCTAGGTTTATCTCATGGATTTGCCCTATAACATACATTTTAACATATTCCAAAAGATTCCTTATTGCATATATTTCTCAGACTTTTTAGCAACAGCAATTAAACGCACATTTTCTCCCAAATCAGCACATATATATAGGGAGGAAAGGGACCTCTAGGGTCCCTCAGCATGATTCAGTATTCCTACATTCTACTGAACAGATGCCTAACCAGCATCTTCTTGAAAATCTCCAATGAAGGAGATTCCAAAATGTACCTAGGCAGCTTGTTCCTTTGTCCAACTGTTCCTATAGTTAGGAAGATTTTCCTGAGATTATTAAATGTACTTTTCTGTAGTTTACACTTACTGCCTTATGTTCTGTTCTCTGTAGCTGCTCTTCCTCTTTTCTGTGGCATCCTTTTAAGTATTTGAAAACTACTAGCATGTCCCCCTTACTCTCCTTATCACCAAACTAAATAATACCCATTTCTCTCAACCTTCCTTATACAGCTTGCATTCCAACCCCTTTATCAACTTTATTGCTTGCCTTTAAATGAACTCCAGTTATTATATTCTTTTTAAAATGCAGTGCCTACAGCTGGACACAGCACTCCAGCTAAGCACTGAACATAGCAATATTATCTCCTTCTTTCATGTCTTTCAATGTCTTTCACACAATACTTGATCAAAACTGTGCTTGTCTTTTTTTGCAAGAGTACCACTTTGCTGGCTCAAGTTGAATTTGTCATCCACCGTAACCACAGGATCCTTCATGGCAGTGCTATTGCTGGTCCAGTTATCTGTTATTCTGTATTTGTGGATTTGGTTTTCCTTTCTTAGGTTCAGTATCTTACATCAGTCTTTGTTGAATTTTGGCTTTTTATTGACAGCCCAGTTATCTAAGTTATCAACATCTGTTCTAATTCTTCAAACTGTTTGCAACCTTGGTGGTTTTCTGTCATCTGCAAACTTGATCATCCTTTTTGTCATTCACATGGATCCAGTTTTTACCAGATCCATTTACAAACAGAAATCATGTAAATAGCAGATCTGAAAACCAGTCCTTCACCTCTGCTTTTAATTAAAAATGAATTTTTCACCAACAATGTCACAAGGAC